GACGTAATAGAACATAACTCAAACTATAAGACTCCTACAAGTACTAGACTAGGAATATTGGACTAGGAGTCCTAATAACTTAGTATATGTATAGATATAAATTTATCTCATTATTTTTATTTTTGCTATTTTCATTTTTCGAATGTATGAATTATTGATCGGTCAACATTTTACTCCATATAATATAGTTAATTTAACAATCATTTTATAAAACTTACCTTTAAAACTTTGTGACATATTTTTATCATACGTGAACTTTCATTTCATCCATCCATCTCATTCCAATACAATGTGTGACATTCTCATCAATCTCACAAATTCTTGAATTACTCAACAATATGCATAAAACTATCTCTCCCGATAATAACCTAAATATCAATCCTAACTTCCATGTCTGCCTCATGAATAGTCACCGAATATAAGCAAATAAACAACGTATATCTTAATTAACAAATAATAAAGCTTGAATTAATAGTGCATTCAAATATCTCTATAACATTCAACCTCCATAACAATATTTATTAAAAATAATTTTTTTATGTTATATTATATTTCTTGGTTTTCCACTTACATCAACATTCAGCTATTCCGAATTCTCTCCATTAAGGGAGAAGCGTTTCAGATCAAGACTCGTTCTCTCCATTTGGGGGAAACATTTCTTAATTAGAACTCGAACTCGAGATCGAATAATGCAAGATACTACTCTCGAATAAAAAAAAAAAAAAAAGAGAGGCCACTACTCCTATTTTTATGTAGAAAAAGATTTTGGTCCTGATTTTTATGTGTTTAATGTTAGAGATGACCCTCTCACTTTAAAAGAAGCTTTATCTTCACATGACTCCATTTTTTGGAAAGAGGTTGTAAATGATGAAATGGAATCACTGATTTCTAATAAAACTTGGAAGTTAGTTGATTTACCATCGGGTTGTAAAAGAATTGGTTGCAAATGGGTCTTAAGAAAAAAGTTGAAACCGGATGGATCTATTGATAAATATAAGGCTAGACTAGTTGCAAAAGGTTTTAAACAACTAGAAGGCCTAGATTCTTTTGATACTTTTTCTCCGATAACAAGAATTACATCCATAAGACTTTTAATTGCTATGACTGCAATTTTTTATTTACAAATTCATTAATTGGATGTAAAACATGTTTTTCTAAATGGAGACCTAAATGAAGAAATTTATATGGATCAACCCGAGTCTTTTGTTGAAGCAGGCCAAGAAAGCAAAGTATGTAAACTTACTAAATCCCTATATGGCTTGAAACAGGCACCAAAGCAATGACATGAAAAATTTGATTCTTGCATGATTGAAAATGATTTTAAAACAAATGAGTCTGATAAGTGCATATATCATAAGTCTTGGAATAATTCACATGTGATTATTTGCCTATATGTTGATGATTTGTTGTTCTTTGGCTATATCATGAATGTTATTGATGAAGCTAAAAATATTCCTAGAAGCCATTTTGATATGAAAGATCTTGGTGAGGCAAATTTTATTCTTGGAATAAAAATAATAAGAACATGTGAGGGAATTTTCCTTTACCAGTCACATTATGTTGAGACAATTTTGAAAAAATATAACTTTCTTGATTGTAAGCATGTTACTACTCCTTTTGATTCAAGTGTTCACTCTGTTGAAAGTGAAAATGATGTAATAAATCAAAAGGAATATGCTAGCATAATCGAAAGTTTGAGATATGTGACTAATTGCACTAGGCCTGATATTGCATATACAGTAGGAGTACTTGGTAGGTTTACAAGCAAGTCAGGTAATGAACATTGATATGCTATAACAAGAGTTATGAGATATTTAATTGGAACAAAAAATTATGGTTTATTCTATAAAATATATCATGTTGTACTTGAAGGCTTTTGTGATGCAGATTGGAACACATTATCAGGTGATTCCTGTTCTACCACTGGTTATGTCCTTACTTTAGGTGTTGTTGTTGTTTGTTGGAGATCAAAAAAGCAAACTATAATTGCTAACTCTACCATGGAGGCCGAACTAATTACTTTAGCTTCAGCTAGTGAGGAAGCGAATTGGTTAAGAGATTTATTATTTCATCAAATACCTTATTTTGAAAAACCAATTCCTCCTATTTTAGTTCATTGTGATAGCACCGCTGCAATTGGTAGAGTTCAAAATCGTTATTACAACAGTAAATTCAGACCTATAAGGAGGAAACACAGTAATGTAAGATCGTATTTGACAAATTGTACCATTAATGTTGATTATGTCAAATCTTGTGATATTCTTGCAGATCCTCTTACTAAGGTCTTAACGAGAGAAAAGGTCTGGAGCACAACGAAGGGATGTGATTGAAGCCTATAAATCCTCGAGTCATATATGAGGAAACCCAACCCGGGGACTAGAGATCATATAACCAGTTCAAAGGGAAAACTAATCATATGATGACTTGTTTTGAAAAATACACTATTTTTTTATTCCCTCCCTATAATGTGAGTGCATTGTTTCCTGTAGTGATTTGTGAAGGTTGAGTTGATAAAACTCTTAATGAATATGTGTAGCCCGTATAGGTGGAGTGTTAAGCTTACAGGAGCACTCTCGACAGATTTCACCTATGTGAGTGTGGAAGTAGGTCGCTTCCTATGAGAATTGGACTTATTCTCAAAAGCACTCATGAAATCGGGATAGCACATGGCCATAACGTGCTGGCTTTTAAAGCTCATGTCAACACCTTGATTATTATGTGTGGATAGTGATATTTTATTTCCCTTAAGCAGTCATAGTTCAAGTCTGAGGTCACTACGACTCTGGATTAAAAATTACTGTTTCACTAAGTGGAGATTCAATGCGGAGCACACCTTCATTATGCATAGTAATCTTCCTTCAGCTAATGGACTCTCTTATCTAATATTATTAAAATGAGTGGAGGATTATTTGGTTTGTTAGCATTTTAATATTAATATTTTATTATATTTTTATTATATTAATTTGCACCTTTGCATTATAATTTCGTCCTTTTGGCAGCATCTTCATTTTGCCGTAGAAGGCATTTGTCACCCCCTCTCTTTATTTCATTCTTTATTCCTTCATTATATCTTGTAACATATGTAACTTCTAAGACCATTATCTTTACTATTTAGTATCTCATTATCTTTCTATTTATTCCTAGGAAGACTTCTTCTACTATAAATAGTGGTGGTCTTCATTTATTTTAGACATAAGAAAAATATAAAGTGCATAAAGTTTGTCAAAAATAGAGTTCTTATTAGTTGATGGAGGTGTTCTTTTTTGTGGAGTTTTAGACTCAACTCTTGTCCAGAGTTGTTGAGTTATACTTTGTGAAGGATGTTGTATTTTGGAGGGGACAAGTCAAGAGGACTACTGCTGGATCGGTGAAAAACATTTGCTACAGTGGGCTTGAATCTCCTTAAAGAGAGCGAGATATCTGCGTCTCAGCGAAGAGATTTATTTCTTCATTTTTATTTTCAATTATAATCTTGTAATTCTGTTATTTTGTAATTTTTCACTAACAACACCAAATCAAGTTATGTCAACCCATAAGTCGGGATTTCTTTCATTATTTTACTTTATTTTCTCTGAAAATTCTTCACTTTTTTATTTTTAATAACCTTTTTTACAAAAAAAATCTAAACTGTTATTTTTTTAGTACACATAGGATAAACTCCATTTTAATATAATTGTTTGCAAATGAAGATATAAATCACACTAAGCAAGATTGGTGAATGATTTTGATCGAGAAAGTATGTAATAAATTTTAAATTGATTCTCTCAATTTGGACACCCAAGCAAATAACTCATAGCATCTTAGATAATTTGATTTTCTAAGTACTTTAAATAACAAAAGTTAAGCATTGTTACTAATTGTGCCAAAATTATTAAAACAACAAAATATCACGAGTCTTACGTATATTTTTTTTTTACTTGAGCATAGTAATTTTATATTATCTTTTTAACATATTAATTAACCATAATAAATAGAGTTACGTGTAAACTAGGATTGACAAGCATGAATATTACTACTGTTTGGGAGAAAAATTTTATGAAAATAGCAATCGCCCATAAATTAAATAAATTTTTCTTCGATTAGTACATTATTTCTTATGAGACAAAAAAAAGAAGATAAGTCATAAAATTTGACTTCTGTGCACATAGCGTGCACATAATAATGATAATATTTGTATGTAATTCTATCTCACTTGGTATATATATTTATTTTTGCTATTTTCATTTTTCGAATGTATGAATTGTTGATCGGTCAACATTTTGCTCCATATAATATAGTTAGTTTAACAATTATTTATAAAACTCACCTTTAAAAGTTTGTGACATATTTTTATCATACGTGAACTTTCATTTCATCCATCCTATTTCAATACAATGTGTGACGTTCTCATCAATCTCACAAATTCTTGAATTACTCATCAATATGCATAAAGTTATCTCTCCCGATAATAACCTAAATAACAATTCTAACTTCCATGTTTGCCTCATGAATAGTAACCAAATATAAACAAATAAACAACGTATATCTTAATTAACAAATAATAAAGCTTGAATTAATAGTGCATTCAAATATCTCTATAACATTCAACCTCCATAACAATATTTATTAAAAATAATTTTTTTATGTTATATTATATTTTTTGGTTTTTCACTTACATCAACATTCGACTATTTCGAATGCTCTCCATTAAGGGAGAAGCGTTTCAGATCAAGACCCGTTCTCTCCATTTGGGGGAAACATTTCTTAATCAGAATTCAAACTCGAGATCGAATAATACAAGATGCTACTATCGAATAAAAAAAAAAAAGAAAAAAAGAAAAAGAGAGGCCACTACTCCTATAAAATAATCCAAACCGCTATGTAAATTCATTTGCCTTGAGTGCACAAAATTACTCTCTTTTTTTCTCTCTCTCTTTACGTGTTTGTCTTTTCTTTATCTAATATCTAATAATAAAAATAATAATTATCTCCCTATATTAATTCTAAATTTTTTTTTATTCATAAATTAAATTTATTCGTCTCAATCAACCGATCATCCACAAGCAAAAGCTACCGGTTTCTTCACCGGCAAAACTTTTCCGGTAATTCACCGATCATCGGTTTAGTCTATGTTATTGTTTCTATCAAGTTCATGTCCTTTGTTTGTTTGTTTATTTAATGTTTTTTTTTCGGTTTTGTTCGGTTGATCGATTGTAAAAATTATTGGGTTTGAGTTGATTTTCGTACCCGATCGTTGTTATTTTATCAAATTTATGTTCTTCTGCGGTTGTTTTGTTCCTTTTTTGTGATTTTTTGTTGGGTTTTAGGCTTTAATTTGTTGCGATATTCTAACCAAAAGAAACTATTTATTCCGAGCTGATCTTCTCACCCGATCGTTTAGTTTTTGTTGTATGCTGCTTTTACAGATTTTGCATGAATAATTGTTTTATGTTTTTTTTTTCTACTTATTATCTAAGATTTTTTTTTTGTTTGAACCTTTAGTTTTTTAATTTTGATGGTAAGTTATCAAGTGTATGTTTTTTTTGTTTTAAATTATAAATAAATACCGGGGACTTGATAGAATTTCGAAGAAAGTAGAATCTATAGACTATTTACTCATGGATTAAGAAAAGACATCATTTTTGAGGATTGGAATGGAAGGGGACAATGAATATTGATGATTCATGTGACCGACGCTGTCTCCCAGTTTGGAAGTGAACCATACTTGTAGTTATTCATCGCACACTACCCTCCCCAGATCCCACAAGTGGGATCATACTGGGTATGTTGTTGTTGTTAAGAAAATTGAATATTTGATGCACCAATTTGGTAAGCGGCTACATTAACTAGAGATCGTAAATGTGGAAATCTTGCTGTCCAGGAAGCTATATGCTGCATATAGGAGTTTCTGAAAGCATTAATTATTTATCAAAAAGGGAAGGAGGGAGAGAGGGAGGATAAAAGAGAGAAATTGGTTGGTTAATTACACTCCTGTGAAGTATTCATGGCTTAGTTTTGTTTGGTATGATTGGAAGAGCAGTAAAAGTGATATAGTTTTCTCTTTTGATGGAAAGTTTGAAGTAGTAGTTCCCTTCTTCACTTTCTAACTTGCTAAATCACTGAAAAATCCTTATTCCTCTGTTTTTACCTCCATTCCACAAACCTCTCTGTTTCACCCAAGTAAATACAACGAGTAATTTGACTTGAACCTTTTTTTTTTTTTGATGATTTAAGCTAATGGTAAAATCCATCTACATATATATATATATATATATATATGTGTGTGTGTGTGTGTGTTTGCGCACGCGCACGCTTCCTTTTCTTATTATTGTTAATTATTTTAGTTCTATTTCCCTCGCTAGGGTGGAGTCTCTAATTTGGTCTAAGAGGAACATTGACATTTAGCCACTCATAGTGGCAGTCAGTTTTATCTAGTAATACCTCTGAGTTCTTTATACCGTGTGGGACTATGTGGTTTATGTTGTTGTTCTTGTTTGAGTTCTTTATATCGAGTAAGGTTAGGATAATTTTTTCACCATGTTTGAGTGTGTGTGGCTTTTAAATGACCAGCGTGAAGTTCCTTTTCTCAAAAATAGGTGGCCAGTGTATTATAACTGTTAGGGAGTTAAATTCACCTATGGGGTCTAGGGACCAAAGAAAGATGAGATGTGATGGATCCATGGATATAGAGGTCTCAGTGTGAATTTTTTCCAATAAACTAGGATTTGAGTCTCATAGTGATGCAACTTATTTGGATAAGAAATTACACCTTGTCCATGAATTTTAAGTCAAATAGAAATGGAGCTGAGAGTCAGTTTTATGCCATTCTACCATGAGCTATGCCGTTGATTGCACATTCCATTGTCCTGAAATTGATTTCATGGATGCATTTTGAGTTCCTTTAGATATGCATGTTGATAGTTGGTATTGTGTTTTGCAAGGACACGAGACAATCATAACTTGTGATTGCGAGGCCTTAGTTGCATATAGTATTACAGTGGTCCCTAAAAATCAATATTTTGTTTATGCCATTGATGTGTACTATTGATTCATAATTTGTCCAACACAAGTGAAACATGTTTTATTTGCAACAGTATACCACACAGCCGCAGAGTTAAAGACCTTGCAAGGACCTGAAGACATAATACTTTTCCTTTGTGGCTGACCAGATTTGAGTGAGACTCTCTTGTTCATGTAAGCATATCCTTTTTTTTGCGTAAATTTTCAAATTGTTAGCTTTGAGATCTATCGTTCAAAAAATTTAGGTGGAGCATCTGCCTGCACCGTGTTGCTTTTAGATGTCGGGAGTTCTCTTTGGCCAATACCTCTCCTGGATCACAGGAGGATATGATGCCACATATTATGATATGTCAATGTTATTCTTCAAAAAATTCCCTCTTACATATTTGAACACTTCCATTTATAAAGTAAGGAAATAACATTTGATCAGTCCCTTTATTCTACTCAGTGATACATTTTAGCACTGGGCAGTCTGTATTTGCTTATAATATACTTTTTATTTTTTTGGGCTCCATGTAAAGTTACTTCCCTTGGACTATTTCGAGAACTTGAAAAACATTTAGCTTTATTTCATTAACTTCTTTATTTGAATAAAGCTTATATTGTTTGCTCTCTTTTATAAATGATCTTTTTTCTTGTTTATGACCCTTTTCAGCATTTGTTGTCTAATTTTTTGATGATACTTGGGATTGTATGCACTGGGATATGAACTTGAAGAAATATGAGGAACTAACTTAAATGACTCTATGCAAACATTTATCCAAAGCCATGTGACAGTGGCTTTATAGTAGCAAATATCTATCTCCCATCTTTCTGCTAAGCGCCCACCTTGTAATCTCTATTTTTTGCTTAGGCACTGAGTTCCTAGGATTATGTGCTAGCATTTTCCTATATTTCCTTTCAGAGTATCTAGGTTTAGATGGTTTTTCGTATGCAGGCTAGGGAGGCTGGTGGCTTATTATTGTCAGATGAAGGATATTGCCCTAGATTCATAAGAATGGGTTTCCTGGGCTAAATAGTTCATACTAGGGCTTTGTTGGAGTTGATTTGAGCTTAATATTGGGCATGATGATCAAATGTCATTCCATTGGCATATCTTGTTTTGACACGACATAAGTTGATGTGAGGGCTTGGGATGAGGACATATTGCAAGTACAGGTGAGGGGTTTTGGTACCTACCTTTCTCAGTCCAGCCATATCTCTATCTAATAGTACTTATTTTAAGGAGCAGTTTCCTCATCTTACATTGTTCTTTTTGTTTCCAGCTTTTGCTCTAGCATCTTCTTGTTCTTCCTTTCTTTTTTCAATCTCAGTCCGGATTTCTTATTACCGTCTCAGATAATTAGGATAGGTCATACTTATATTTCTGATTCTTCTCATCTTTCTCACTGAAAAATAATCTGGGAGATCCTGCAGGGTATTTCTTTGGTGGATAGCTAACTAGCTTTGCTATTGTATAGAACCTCAATCATACATGATGTTGCAAGCAACTTCTTGGTCAATCTGGCAGGTTATGAAGAGATCTCATTCTTATGGTGTTCTTATCAAGATTGATTAGACTGAACTGCTGTTATTGCAGTCTCTTACCCTTCAACCTTTGAGTGTGAAGAGCTCATAGGAAATAGGTTCTGCTATTGTTGCAGAATTAATGACCTTCCGAAAGATGCTTCTTTGATGGGGTGAGAAGTTGTTGAAAACCTGAAGTCATTTAGACGCTGCCACTTATTGGGGGGTGAGGGGTTGTTGAAAAACTGAAGTTCATTTTACAGGCTGCCACTAACTGTGGGGTGAGCATTTCTGGAAAACCTGAAGTTCATTCTACAGGCTGAAGCTAACTTTCTGAGTAGTTGTGGAACTCCTTTGCACTTTGACAACTGCTGGTAGTATGAGGCCACTTTCTCTTGGAAAGACTGTCTTGCTTATGCCATTTTTTATTGATGATACGAGATGAGGTTCTTGCTGACCATGCTGCTTCCAAAGCACATTTTTGACTGGGATTTGTTTACTTTCTCTGGAATGGTGGATCTGTTGGTAGTGACATGGGGGCAGATGTGTACCATTTCTTGTCTGTGGATACTTTGAATTGTTTGCTGGTGAATAGAACTGAATGGTGCACAGTTTGAGTGTGTTGCAACTTTATTACAATATCCCTTCTAAGGTTAAGAGAGAGACGCTGAGCAGATACTGTAGTGCTCACTAGATGCAACATTCTCTCTCTCTTTTCTCAATGACAGCTGATTTTATCCTGATTCAATTGTATGCTGGTAATTCCTTTAATTGAGCCTATTGAGCTAGTGTTCCTGTGCCCCTTTGGAGTCTTAGGTTGTAATCTTACTCTATTGATGGCTTAGTTCGAAATAGAGTGAGAGAGCAATCCTGATCAATATATTCTCTGAATGGCATCACAATGCAGAGCTGGGGTCCAATGGAAGGTACATTTTCGTAGTTGTACCACTACGATGTAGCACATTGATGCTAGTATATTGCTAAGTCTGCTGCAACTCCTTAGAACACTTAAACATAATGTTGCTTGGTCTATGCAATATTGGAGGACAACTATCATAGTTGGTTGCGATGAATGAGAAAACATGTGTATTACCAGTTAGCCTATGTATTTATGGTTGAGCTCCCATTGATGTAAGAAAATTCTCTAACTAGTAACACATCTATAGCTTTGAGGATTTCTATCTAGTTCTTTGGGGCTCATTGGTACCCGTCACTATTCATCCTTTTGTACTACCCACAATCTTCATGAGGAGGTGCCTCTTATATTTCATGTTGCAAGTAGATGCAATGATGGAAGCTTTTACAGCCATTTCACAGTTTTTGCTTCTATCCCTATTTTGTACTCTCAATATTTCGTACTAAACTTAGTTAGTCAAGCATGAAGCATATCTGGTACTGTTGACAAATTTATTTCTATACTTTCTCCCTCTGACAAGATTATTCTTTACTTGTCTCGTACCATCATTATCCATTTAGTTTCTATCTCTCTATAAGCCAACTTGTTTTGGCTCATTTCATACAAAAGATTGCAGTTGCTTCTTTCTAAACTCTCATATGCTCTTTACACCGGTACATCTCATAAAAACAACATTAATAAGTGTTTCCAGAGATACTCTCGTACTCCTCCCCCACCCCTCGCTCTTCGTCCTGCATTTGCCTGAGTTCTGAACCTTGAAACAGTCATTATCAGAAAGATTGATGGACACAAAAATTCTAGTGGCTTCTTCTTAATGGAACATATTTCAGTGAGACTGCCATGGGATGAGGGAACCAAATTGGCCATGTCTATTTGGTGGTATGGCTCGTCAAAGGTACTTGTGGTGATATGTTTCTCTTTTTAGCTTTATTAATGAGCTATCTTTAATATTTCGTGTCATCTTGTTGAAACAGCAGGAGTAGTCAAGTGGTTTAGCTTGTGTTCTTGTTTCCTATTCAATTTTGAGTAGTTCAATAGGAAAGGTCCTAGATATCCATCCCCAGTATAAGTACAACTTATTCTTCCCATTTTCTAATCCTTACTAAGTTAACATTTAGAAAGAAATTATCATGACTGCATCAATTTTGGTTAAATTATATGCAATAGATGTGTCATTTCTATCATTGGCTTGCTTAGTGACAATTTGCTCTTTAGGCTCATATATTCAGACAACTTGTCAGCTGTCCATGTGTTGGCTTTGTTTTCTGATTGCTCTGGGTTAATCTTGAGCATGAAAGCAGGCAGCATAAAGTTTTAATGAGCTTAGAAATGATTCACATCTCTTTACCACTAAGGTCTTCTGACTTTAATATTGTTTTTGAAATGGATAATACTGTATAATTCAATGATATTGTTATCTTTATAACAATACTTCCGTCATTGACCATAATGTACCTTTTTCATGTGAAAGATGCCACTTTTTGGGTGGTTCCAATTTCCATATTGTCTTCCAAATGGTCTTACTTCTCCCCTCAAGCAGGAAGTATGGTAAGACTTCTTGGAGAATAATTTGGGAATGTCACCATCCAGACCATCTTATCACCCTAATCATGAAAAGCTTGTATAGTTGCCAGGAGATCTTTCCACATTGTCAATTTTTAGTATTGTATACTTGTCTAAATGTATGTCTGGTGCCATCTGCCCAACCTTCGCATTAAGAATCTCCACAACTTGGCTTTCTTTGCAGTTTGTGTTTGAAAAGAGATCAGAAAATTCAGCTGGTTAGAATAATACCACCTCACCAAATATCGAGTCAACATCGTGTACAGTTTCCGTTCCTAAAAGAGATTCCTTTAAACTTCAGGAAGTCCTCTCTTTTTCATGATCTTTTCCATTAGCTTGTTTTATAAGGGTGGTTCGCCTCTTTGATAACCATCCAAGATGTATGCGTTTATACATTTCATTGATCAGTTCCCTCCATATAACACTTTCATCTATTTCTATCTCCCATAACCATCCCAAAAGGGCTCAGTTGAACATAGTTATTTCCAGATACTAAGGCTTCCATTCCTACCGAGGCTCATCTGTTCGTATAGGGCTCTGTCTCTATCCAGCTCTCCCAACTCACCTGATGAAAATTGCCTATCTCATTAGATTTTCAGTTTTTTAAGGCACCAATTCTAGAATATGAAGATGTAGATAAGAGCTTTTTCTGTCAAATACTTCTCCCTCCTTTTGACATTGTACTTCTTTTTCTATCCTTTCAATACTTTCTTGAGCTATAGTAGCCAAAGCTCTCCCTCCTTGAATTTGCCTCCTAGGGGAAGATCCAGGCTGTTAGTAAGGAACTCATGTGCAATCACCCCTTGATTGTAGTTAGAACAATGGTTATTATGCACCTCCCAATGGTTTGAACTCCGATTTCGTTGTACTTGTTCTGAGCCACTACACTGCCACCAACTATGTCAAGGTCTTGAACGGTGACAGATTTGTCTCAATTGAGGAGCTTAGAAAATTAGTATCATCTGCTTATATTAGATCTGATTTTTCAGTCTATGGTCTACTGATAGCTTTTATCATAAAACCATTCAGACATGCTCCATTTATTGGTTTTCCTGCAGCTTATTGATCATCTCAATGGCAAAGCAGAAAAGTAATGGGGATAAATGATCTCTGTGTGAACATCCTTTGCTATTCCTGACAAAGTTCAAATGAAATTCCATTAACCATTATAGACTCTCTCACAGATGTATAAACGTAAGAGATTCCTCGTCATCAGACCCATTCAAAGTTGCTAAGTTAAGATTACCGTTTAAGTAGAATCTATGCTTTAATTTTAAGAAAGATATAATGTAACTGGAACATAACAAAGAAAAGGTTCGGCAGCTAATGTTTGTTGCATAAGTGCTACTGTGAAGGTGATTCAGTTTGTAAATATTGTTTTTGTGAAAAATAACTTATTTCAAGAGTACGCCGAAAAGGAGGCGGCGGATGACATCTACAACTTGAATATTTGTGTTAGACATGGAAAATGGTTAACTAATAAAACCTAATTCAAGTTGAACTGTAATAATCGTCTTATAGGTTTTTAACTTTTTCCATCAAGGGACCAAGAATGTAAAGACAAGAAACAAAAAATTCTATGTTGATGCTAATCTAGACCACAATAGCCCAGTTGGAGACGTAGAGCTTCCTTTATTTTCTATTCCTTTCAAAAATCAAAGAAAATCTCTCTTTCTTTTAATCACTGACCCAGGCATTATAGTCCTTCTACACTTAAGAGCCTAACTATATGTACGGGCGACAGAGGATGATACAGATGGTAGCTAGTATGACAACAACAAGAGGAATGGATGTATTGGAGAAGTAAATATCTACTTTCTCTTGGAAGCCTTTCTCCATGAAGTACACACTGAAAGGGAGCCTTCCCTGCTATGTATATGAATTGGGGCTTTACATTATTATTGGATAGATAGCAATTTGTTTCTACAGGCGGTTTTATTTTTTTTGGGCCATTTATATATTAAGGAGTAAACCTTTCGCCTAGACAGTTCTGCTTTTCATTTACTTCTATAGCTTTGTTGGACGACCTCTGCGGTAAAAGAAAAATTCTATATTGTACCTCTTATTATTTGTCGAGGTTCCTCGGCGAGGTTTTAGCTTTTGAATTGTGAAGATAAGTAAACGAAAAAAAAATACTAATTGAGTAAGTAGTGAGAACATATATGATGATAGAGAATATTTAAACTAAATAATGTTTAAAATTCTTAGTATTCTTAATTATGACACAATCATGAAGAACTATTCATACTATTAACCTGAATTTATTAACGAAAAATGACATAATTCTCTCGACTTTCAGCTCAAGGTGGTGAAATAACTTGAGTCTTGCTAAACTCCAAAAGAAAATACTAAAACAAAATCACAGAAATAGTAATCAATCACCCAAACAGTGTTGGCGGAGTAGTACTTGAACAAGTAAACAATCACAGGAAAGAATGGGCATTGGGATTTTTCCTCGGGAGTATGCTGGTAATTATATTGTGAAAGGAATTGTTTATAACACGCACAAAAAGAAATCTACACTCGATTAGCTGCTAGAGTCCCTACAGGCCTAGGATGGGATGTAGTTTTTTTTACTTTGCCAGATTGTACAGAGCTCCCAACACATTCTTAGTGCTGTTTTAAATACAATCCTTACCATTTTCCAAAAAAATAAAATCTACTCGATTAGTGCAAATAGCTGCAGTGACGTCAACTTTTAAGACATCATTAGTGTAGCTTGAATTGGCACCGGAAGAGTAATAAAGGAAGTTGTGGGAACAATGTCCAAATGAGCAAAACCCAAATTTCAATATCATGAATAAAAAGTTAGGTGTCAATATTTGGATGGTTAGCTACACATGAAGCATGTTTAACATAAGATAAGCTCCAGTGGAGAGGATTTACTCTGTGAAGCAGATGTTTTCTATGTGAACACTCCCCTGAATTAGTCATCTATGTCTTCATTGCAGCCCAACTTGTCAGATATGGGCTTGTTTCTAGACATATCTGGTGTTTTTGGGTTATGCACAGTAACTGAAGCAGTTGTTGAACTGCTGGCAGAGACAGAAAACAGACAGTATAGACACAACTGAGGGAGATGATCCATTTATGTATTATATGGGATCGTCTGCCTTGCAAGGAGAGATAAATGCTGTAGGGGGAGAAAGATCACATTTTCATGTTAAATCTAGATATATACAAAACATAATTATGTGACATTGGTGAGCTTTCAAAATAGCATTTATAGTTAGGGATGTTTTAGATTCCCTGAACTTTTAGCCGTGGTTAAGTTCTCCTTCTGTATTTTCTATGGTACTGGTTAGTAATAAAGCACTTTACTTAATAAATAAAGAAACTATAAATAAAAAGCCGAGGAGAAAAAGTTCTAGAGAACATTTTACTTGAAAGTTGCTAGAAGAATGACTAGAATAGTGGGCTTAGATTTGTCGCGCCAATACAGTCATCACCATGGCAAATAAAAATGGGCTAAGAGTTGATCTTTGGTGCCACTTCATGGGAAGTGCTTTTGAGTCTCTTACATGTTCTTAATTGCACTAGTGTATGCCACAAATACACCTTTAGACTTCAAGCACCTCCATTAGAACTTTGTTGTATGCTTGGTTGATGAACACCATGTGTAAGCCCTTCTTCTTCTCCTTATATTGTTCCAACAGTCTCCTAACTAGATGAATGACTTTTGTAGTTGAATTTCCCGGCATGAATCTGAACTGGTTCTCGAAAATAGAAATGCCCTTCCTCACCTTTATCTCCATCACCCTATCTTAAATTTGTGGCTTTGGAGTTTGATACCTCTATAGTTGTTGCAATTTTGGAAGTCACCGTTGTTCTTGTACAACAGATCATTGTACTCCACCTCTATTTTTCCGGACACTATTGCTGTCTTAAAAAACGACATTAAACAATTCAGTCAGCCACTTCATACATTCCTTGCCTGTGCTCTTTTAAAATTCCATCCGGATCTTGTCTGGCTAATTGCTCTTCCCCTTCCCCTGTGCATCCTTTGAATCACACCCTTAACCTTCTCAACTTTTATTCACCTACATGCCCAAAATTGTAACACTTCTCGTAATTCTCCAAGTCTCTAAGCACAATGTCTCGATCTCGACTTTTTGTTCAAGAATTTATGGAAATATAATTGTCACCTTCGTCTAATCCCTCCGGCCCTCCTCTATCAGGCATTGTCTAGCCTATACAATTTTATCCCCGCCTCTGTTCTTTAGTTCTACATTCAAATGCTTAGAAGTTTTCATTTTTGTCGTTGTAATTGCTAAATTACCTCCTTCTCTATCTTATATCTTTCCCTATGTGTCCGCTTTTCCTCTTTATTCTTACTCTCCACCAACTTCACTTCACCACCTTTTTTGCTACCACTTTCCCTTGGTCGTCCCCATTCCACAACCAATCCCCTCTATGGCCACTTAAGCTACCTCTTGAGACCGCCATCACCTCTCTAACTTCTTCCATGTTGCAATTAGTTGTCTTATCCCACATATTGTTCGCATCCCCACTAACCCCCACCTCTATGGACAACAACTTCTCCGCTATCTCTTGAGCACTAGCCATAGTCAAACTACCCACCTTGATCCTTGACAGGTCTCACACAACCCTCTTCTTCGTCCTCTTCATCTCCAAATTCATCACCAAGAGCTTATGTTGGATAGTAAGATTCTCACTTGGGATAATCTTGCAGTGCTTACAAAGACTTTTATCATTCTTCCTAATGAGGAAGTAATCGGGACTCCTCCCTCATTCCTATCCCCAAAACCAAAGCCTCCATGCACATCGTCATAACCCCTTGGGCCTTGGGGTTGACCCAATGTGTCCATTGAAATCTCCTCCTACGAAAAGTTTCTCAGTGAGTGGTTTACCTCTCACCGCCTTGTGCCAAAAACAAGTTATTTCATGCCACTAACCTGGATGTATTCAACATATGACAAAGTATTTCTCTTAACTTTTAACATAAACTAACAACAACACACCCACCCAGTATATTCCTACAAGTGGGAGGGTGGGGCGTATGCAGACCTTATTCCTACCTAAGTGGGGTAGAAAAACCTTTTAACATAAAACTATCGGAAGCAAAAAATGGTTTTAAGCATATAGGAAGAATCATCTGCGTCAGATTGGCCATATCAAGTAGTTTGTCTTGTGCCCATTAAACATGTGACTAATCGTGCATGCTGATACACAATTGTAAGTTCCACATCTCTGTGAGATCTAATTATGGCTTTCAGTGCAAGAATTCTGCTACATCTAGATGTCTGATCTTGATATTAATTTATACCTTTAACCAAACAAAGTATAAATTTAATCCGAAACCTAATCCTGGGATGTCCCCACTTATCCCATCAACGTTGATGTTATTTTATCTCACCTCCCAAGTGAGATGAATTAGTCAAAGGATTATTTTACCAGGACTATAGTCCCAGGATAGCTTAGTCCGCGGACCATATGAGCTCACATTTGACTAATCCTGCATGCTGATATGTAAGTTTCACATCTCTGTGAGATTTAATTGTGGCTTTCAGTAAAAATAATTCTACCACATCTAGATGTCTTTTCTTTGATTACTTTATGTGAAGGAGCTACACAATTTTAGATCAAGCTTTTCTGTTTTGTTGTGAAATCCTAAGCTTATTCCCTGACTTTCCTAAAAATTACTTCTGATAGCATTTTTTCTCTGCTGACTTGTATTTGTTATCAGTAAGTGGGCGTTTTGGCCAAACAGGTCCTAAGTTTCTGTAAGAAGATAGGTTTGAGTAGGGGTTTGTAGAAATAAAAGTCTTAAGTTTGTTTGATAAGAAATTGTATAGAATTCATGTCCGGGTTCTAAAGATAAGGGGAGATCGACAATACTTTTCCAATACGTTACTTTGTGCACTAAGAAGGAAAGAGGAGAGAGAGAGAGAGGGGGGGGGGGGGTGTGTGTCGTTGATTCATGTGGATCTTTGATGTGTCATGTTGTGGTGTATAGCTGAATGGTCAAATTATGTGTCACCGAGTAACTGTTTATATTCCTTTCAGTATTAAAGAAAAAAAATGACGAGGTGACTCCTGTTATTTAAATGCAGATTTCTTTTCGCGGAGAGATAAATTTATTGCTAACATTCACGTACAATGGGGCACAGAAATTCATTCAACATGTCTCAGATATTTGGGACGGAAGATGATCAGAGATGGAATGTTCCAGAGCAGGCACCTTTGCCTTTCGGTAACTACTGATATTTCTTTTAGGTGTACAGATTTCATTTTAACATAAAGCTTGACCAATCTTTCGTCTTATTAAGTTTTGCCTGGAATTGGTCTATTAGTAAATCCATCACATGTCTTGGAGCTGCAACTTCATAACATACCATTAGCCCTCTCCATCTAAGCAAATCATGATGGTTCCTTTTCATTCTTTCCCTTCCTTTGGTTATTGATGTGTAATGCCCATAAACTCGTTAAATTATGGAGATGATCCTATCATCACATTAGTGCTAAAAGTATAAAATCACTCAATACTCCATCTTTTTTATAAGACAGAATCCATGTGTTGAGATTATGTGCCCTTTTGGTGCCTTCATGATTGATCGTCTCCTGTAGGCAAATGGAATTAAAGCTGGTCCATGTAAAATCTACCTACGTATAGAACCAGTGGATGGCCTTTGAACTAGACTGTTGGACTGAAAGAGCAGAGTTTGTCTTTTGATTAAAGGAACTGACCTTGGCTAAACATGGAAATTACCAATCTGACAGGACACTCTTGTGGAAGTGCTGAGGGGTAGTGAACAAAATAATGCCTTCTGGCTGTATAGATTGGAAGTATACCTTTGTTGACCATTTATATGGTCTGAAATAGGGAGGACATAAATAAACAGTAAAGAGCCTTCTCATGTTAATGTCTCCTTTTTAATTGCAGCAAGGGCCGGTGTTCCGGAAGGCAGTAATATTGTTTATCCAGTGGACAGTATGTCAATTGACGGGGCACACCATTCTTCTCAGGGGCATGCCTCTAGGCCAAGTGGATATTCTTCCTCGAATCCAAATATGGAAATTCCACACTGTCAGCCACAGGTTCAAGGTCCTTTTCATGATCCTTTTCTGCATTCAGGTACTGGAGGCTTTCATATGATCCATGAGAATTATCCACATCAAGCATCTTCATCAGCCCATGGCGGCCAGACATATCATGGGGTGGATGGTGGCCTTGTTGACCTCACAATGGGTAGTGGGAGAGGGCCGTACAAACGAAAGAGTCCTGGTATACCTGCAGGTGGCGAAAGTGGTAGTACAAGCAGATACTTCGATGCTGGCAGTTCATCTGATCTCCCTTCTGAATCTTGGCAGGAAAAACAAAATCCAGACCCCCATTACACAACTTGGGGTTTACATCCTAGTTACAGAGGTAATAGTCTGTCTATTGGAGGTGAGGGTTCTCAGAGGAATGTAAGAAGCAGAGCTGCATTTGATCTGCAAAATAATGTAGGAAGGGCACATATAACAAGTACTCCTTCACATCACTCTAACAGCAGTAGAACGTCCACTGATTATTGTAGTTCAGTGAATTATCTAGCTCCAAGTTCGAATTCTTCAGCAAGGGAATGGAACCATGCTGTCATGCCCCCTGCAGCTGCTCATGGGAGGAACTTTGCTCCTGGTTAGTTTCTTAAATTGTTTTGTTATCCTTTGCTGTGTTTTGATTTTAATAAGAATATTTTGTAAACTGCAGATGCAAGCTTCTTTTGTTATGATATGAACCACTATGATATGGTTACCGGCAACATCTCTACCTCTCTGGAGATGGGGAATTACCACAATGATTTCACCTCCAACAGAAGTTCCCTTCCTCAACATTTGCCTGGCAGCTTGCCATCTTCAAGGGGAGTCCGAAGTAGCTACAGTCAAAGATCTTCCTCTACTTTCAGGACTTCTTCAAGCTATATGCGTCATGGGCATGTTGGGACTTCAGATGATGGATCACAGTTGTTTGCTGAAGGTTACGCCTCAAGACATTCACGACCATTGTCTACTCTAGGACTGCGTAGTAGTGACCGAAATGGGAGAACTAGGGTATCTAGTGATAGGTACAGATCATTGGCTGGTGAGGCAGGTTTCCGTGAGCAACTTGCATCTGAGGTGTGTATGCTCATCTTATTCAAGAAATTGGCATGTCGTCCTTTTGTGAGGGGATTAGCTTCTGTCTAGGCTCCCTATATCAAATACACAAGTCTTTTGCATCATGGGTGTGACTAGTTTTCTTGCATTGTGCCACATGAATGTCCCAGTCTTTTGTTTTTCTTTTCCTCTTATGAAAATATGACCTTTCTGCTTCATGCCACAGGAATGTCCCAGTCTTATTTTGCTTTACATGTGTGTGTATATATTGGTGTAAATCATTTCAGTGTAAATCATAGATGCTACCCAGGTGTATTTTGTGCATTTGTTTAATCAGCTAATGTAGGGAAAATGCGCTTCACTTTGAAAGATTAACTGGGAATATGCATGCACACATATTTATGATATGTAGGTTTGTGTCATTAATTTAAGCTGTTTGTGTTAAACTGTTTTGACTTGTGATCCTTCTTATATCCAATCAGTCTTGATGAAATTCATTCGGGGATCCTTACTTTTTTTCATCAATTTTTATTACTCATAATTTAGTGGATTTATTTTGCTTTCTTGTATGGACACTTGTGTATTCCAATCTGGCATAATGGAGAATACAAATAGTGGTAGATAGTAACTTGGCTTTAATATGATATTTTCGTTAATCATTTCTACCATCTCTGAACATATCTCCTTCAAGACGTGTTGAATGTGAAACTTTGGGGGTTCTTTCAGGGTGTTATTATTCCAGACCGCTCTACTTATTATGGATCCAGAAGCATGTTTGATCAGCATAGGGACATGAGACTTGACATTGACGACATGGGCTATGAGGTAAGTTCTGAAACTCTACTTGCACCTTTGTCTTGCTTTCTGTTTTCAACTTGCAGCCGTCTTCTCAGCTTTGATACTTTGACGTGAACAGGAACTTCTTGCTCTGGGAGAAAGAATTGGCCATGTCAATACTGGCTTGTCGGAGGAACTGATTTCAAAGTGCATGACCGAGTCAATTTATTGTTCCTCAGACCAAAATCATGAGGAAGGAAATTGTGTTATCTGTTTGGTGAGTATTGTTATCTTGTCAGAAATGTACATAATGCAGGTCAAATATTTAGATATAATGACTTCAAGCACTTTAGATCCTTCCTTTGAGTTTATGCGATGAGTTTAAGTTCTCTATGCACCAATAGCATAAAAGATATTTACATAATCATTGTGATTTATTATGTAGTTAGAAGTAAACTCTATGATAAACATTATCTGTAACCTGTTAAAAATGGTGATTAACATGTAACTTGAAAGGTGCCTTTCCATCATTATCACTCCGTGTGAGTTCACTCGTTGATACTAGACTCTACATTGAGCAGTTTTTACCAGTCTAGTAGTTTGTATGGTGTTTTTGCTTTTCTTACGATTCTAACAAGTGCATTTCGTATGCCACTGCATTTGACAGGAAGAGTATGTTAACATGGATGACGTCGGGACATTGAAATCGTGCATCCATGATTTTCATGTGGGGTGCATAAGAAGATGGCTGTCAATGAAGAACGTGTGTCCCATCTGCAAGAAAACCGCTTTGGATGACGACGACATGAAAGAAAAATGATTTATTTAGCTATGACTTATTGGGCATTGAACTTGTGTAAATATGTATTTAGAACATTTCTCAAATGGGGGAAAAACTAGTATCACCTCAAAAGTTTGTACAGAAAATGTTTTTCATGTCATCAGTCGTTTCTTTCAAATGTGTAAAGAATCTCCTTATTACCTCTTTTCTGATTTACTTTTACTCTTTATCAAATCGAAACGCAAGCGCCTTCTGCAGGTCCCTGTTTTCCTTCCGCCTTAACGGGGACTTAAAAGAGTGTACCTCCTTTATTCCTCCGCCTTAACGCGGACAAGTAGATTTTGGGTGTTCACAAGTAGATTTGTATAAAGTTGAACAAGTAGATACATGCGTTCTAATATATGTAGGACGACATGCAGGATGTCATGTAGGATACGAATTACCACGTAGGACGTCAAGTAGGACATGCGTGTTTACTTGTTCAATTTTATACAAGGTTAAGAGGGTGTTTGGATTGATTTTAATGTTGGTTAAACCTACTTTTAAGTCAGTTTTTGACTTCTAAAAGTGTTTGACAAATATAAAAGTAACTTTTAAAAAAAAAGACTTAAAATAAATTAGAAAGTGTATGGCAATGTTAAAAATAACTTAAAATATGTTTAAAATGATTTAAAATGAATCAAAAATCAAAAGTAAGAGGCTGTTTGGATCGACTAAAAAGTTGGTCAAACCTATTTTTAAGGCAATTTTTGACTTCTGGAAATGATTGATAAATATAAAAAATAACTTAAAATAAGTCAATGATGACTTAAAATAAGTTATAAAGTGTTTGACAAGGTAAAAAATGACTTAAAATAAGTTTAAAAATAACTTAAAATAAGTCAAAACTCAAAAATAGGTATCCCCCAACTTTTTATTTTTTGACTTAAAAGTTATTTCAGTTTGACTTTTTATTTTTGACTTGAAAACTATTTTTTAAAGCCAATTCGTTCCCTCTACTTTTTATATTTGACTTAAAATCTACTTTTTAAGTCAATCCAAACACTCAAAGTTGAAAAGCATAAATGTCAAATGAGATCAAGTTAAATGACACGTTTATATTTATGGTTTCACATTGAATCATATTGTAAATTTACCCTTAATTGATTTATGTCCTTAAATATCTTTTTTAAGAGTTGTGTCACACCCAACAATTCATTTATGAGAAAGTATTAAATGACTGCACAAATTAGTAATAGTCAAATATAGAGTAATTATTTTTATTATTTTTTAATAAGTAAGTATTTTGTATAAAACTTGGTCAAACATGCATTTGATTCTGATTTATTTCAATTTACCTTTTTTCCCCCTAAGGAGACAAATTATACTAGTACAAACTAACAAAAACAACACCCAAAATGGTCAAACGCATTTAATGTTTTTCAATCTAAATCCTTCATAAATCAGATTTTATTTCCCCTACAAGTGTATATATAAAAGTAAAACTTGATTCAAGTAAATTATAATAAAAAAAGCTTGTGTTGTACTTATATCTAAAGAGATGACTAGAGTTTGCTTTACAACATTGTTCTTGGTTTATGCCATTTTAATTGCAATTGTTGGTGTGTAATTCATCTCTCTTCCTAACTATTTGTGTCTAATTAATTTCTATTCTTTCTTCTTTTTTAGTGACAAATTTCTAGATTTTTTTTGTTGTATGTGGGGAGAAACGTTTCTTAGCTATTAGACCAAACCACTATGCAAGTTAATTACTTTTACTTTTATTCTTTAAGTTTTAACCATTGGGAGGATGTTCTGGGGTTTATTCATCATCAACAAGAGATTTCAGGTTCAAATTTTATAAATAAAGGATTTTACGATATAAAAAGTGGTTTATTAACTCATTTGTTAGAAAATTATATCGTGTTTCAAATATCCTAAATATTTTTTTGATTTCTTTACTGATTTTGAACCTACTCGACTTAGATCTGAATTTGTTATGCCAGTTAATTTTGAATATCAAATGATCAAAAGTCAAAAATTATTTTTTCCCACTTTACCCCATGTATGAACTTACTTGACTTAGATCTAAATTTGTTATGCCAATTAATTTTGAATATCAAATGATTAAATTGTAAAATTATTTTTTTCCTCACTTTACCTAATCAATGAACCTACTCAACTTAGATTTGAATTAGTTGTGTCTACTTGATTTTGAATATCAGATGATTAAATTGAATTTTTTTTCTCTTTTTCTTTTGACAAGTAAGAAACTTTTTTTTTAATGATTTTGTAGGTTTGTTTTGCTTTGGAATTGCAGCAGATTCACCAGTTTGCAAGACGGCTGCAGATTGTTATGATCATTGCTATCCATTTACTTATGCTGCTGAGTGCAAAGATGGGCATTGTTCCTGTAATTAGGGATTATGTTGCTCGTATTCTTTAAAAACGTCTCATAAATATGTGTTGAATTTTTCAAAATTAGTATATTTTTGGAAATTCAATATGAATATAGTAGTACTTTTGGAGAGTCCGAGCAACATAGATCAGGAATATGAATTTGTCTTTCAAACAACTAATGTACGAAAATTCCAAAGCACTTATATGTGCCAAGAAAATTAAATTATATTAAACTTTAGTGGTTATTATACATGTATCGATCCTTTGAAAATATATTTATGATCTTGAATTAATCTTGGATAAGTAACTTACAAATTGATTTCTTTTATGGGAACTATACATATATCATATATGAGTATATACATATATAATACTTGAGTAATTTAGATTATTAATTGAGATAAAACACATAAAAACTCATATCGTAATTTCAATTACAAATATGACTTCATTTAGCATAATCAAATATTCTTTTCAATTTTCAGAGTTTTAATTGCACCCACATCATTAATGATGATTTACACGAAAAATAAGCATATTGTACCACATAGAGGTGTTAAATCGGCGAGTTTTGAAATTAGAGATATTAAAATAGATTGTAATAGAAATTGGGTTGAGTCTTGACCCGCCCAAGTCTATTTTGGGCTCAAATAACCTAAAAATTAGGTTGGGTCATGACCCGCCCAATGTGACCCGCTTAATCTCAATATTATAACATATTGTTATTTAACTTTTATAACCACAATTTGAATTTCAACTCAAGATTTTTTTTTTTAAAAAAAAGTTACAATTTGATAGATAAATCCTAAAAGATATAAAATAAAAAGTATTTCATACATTCGATGTAGGAACATACATTACAAGTTTACAATAATGCAAATAAAGAGTCTTAAAACGGGTTGAAATTGAAGATTAAATTGGGCTCAATTGAGAATTCTCTTAAAATGGGTGAAAGCTTAAATGAGTTGAGATTAAACCAAATTCAAATCATAGCGATTTATCCTATCATGAGCTTATATGATATCAATCTGGATTAGAGATTTACCCTATCAAGAGCTTACATGATATCAATCTGGATTAGCGATTTACCCTATCAAAATTTGCATGATATCAATCTGAATTAATTTGTAATGCCAATATATTTCAAATATCAAATGATAAAATTTTAAAAAATATTAAAATTCTTCTCTTTTTTTTTCTTTTTTTCTTTTGACAAGAACCTTTTATGATTTTGCATGATTATTTTTCTTGGAAATTGCAGCACAAGAGTTTTGCAACAATGATGAATATTGTTTTGTTCATTGTGGTCTAATTCCTTTTGCCAAGTGCACAAATGGAAAATGTGTGTTTTTAGGGATATGGATTTTTTGAGTCCGGAGCTAAAAGGGTAAAAGAAAATTGTCAAAAATTCCAAAAGGGCACATCAAATTTTTTTAAAATCAAAAGGGCAAAATCACTTCTGACGAAGCGATTTCCCTCTGACACAATGACTAAAAATCATTGCCCTAGCATCGATTTTGTCCAAAAACTTTTTTTCTTTTTTTTTAATTAAAAATCGCTGCCGTATCGCTGCCACGGCAGCGATTTTAAGTCGATTTTTTTTTCCTTACATTGTTAAAAACTTTATTTAAAATCGCTGCTTGTCCAAATTTTTTTTTTTTTTATAAAATCGTTGCCTCAGCAGCGTTATCCTAAAAAAATAATCTTAACTCGCTGCTTCAGCAGAGTTTTTGAAAAAAAAATAAAAAATCTCCAACTTGAATTCGCTGCGATGGCAACAATTTTCCAACTTCGTTTTTGCAAAAAAAAAATGAAAATAAAAAATCTCCAACTTGAATTCGCTGCAATGGCAGCAATTTTCCAACTTTTTTAAAAAAAAATTATCTTCGCTTTGGCAGCAATTTTCCTTAATGTTTAAAGAAAAAATTGGATAAGGCAGCGTTTACAAAAAAAAATAAAAAATTAGAAAAACGCTGCTGAGGCAGCGATTTTAGGATTTTTTTTTCTGATAAAATCGCTGCTTCAGCAGCAATTTGAATGAAGGCTTTAACGGCATGCCCGACATACGTTAAAAGATATCGCTCCTTAGGGAGCGATTTTACCGTTTTGATAAAAAAAATAATTGGTATACCGTTTATATTTTTTTGAGGAAAAAAATTGTCCTTTTAGCTCTGAACTCTGGATTTGTCTTTAAAACCACTGAATATTTGAAAATTTTAAAGCACTAACTATATGTGTCAAGAAAATTAAATAAAAATTTCAAAGTAGTGGTTATAATTATACACGTATCGATCCTTTAAAAATATATTCATGGTGTTGAATATATCTTGAATAATAACGTATAAATTGAACTCTTTTCTTTCAAACTATACATATATGCGTATGCACACATATAATACTTGACTAATTGTGATTGTTATTTGACACAAAGCATACATAAAATTAATTCGTAATTTCAATCATGACTACACCTCTAAAAACAATTATATGTGTCAAGAAAATAAAATATATATATTTTTAAAAATGATGGTTATCATACATGTATCGATCCTTTAAAGATATATTCATAATCAGCGTACATATAGAATATAAAAAGAAATGGGGGCATTCCGAGAATTGAACTCGGGACCTCTCGCACCCTAAGCGAGAATCATACCACTAGACCAAATGCCCTTAATTGTTATAAATATTTTGCCATTTTGTATATAATTTATTGTTGAAGTCTTTTTTTTTTTGTTTGAATAGAAAGTTATTATTTAGTTAAATAATAAATATGTCATTGTATGAGCTATTTATTACTCATTCCTTTTGAATTTGTTAA